GCTTCRCATGTTCTAGTGGCGYGTTTTCAGCTGGCGAAAYSTTTTTTTAAGAGTTGATTCAGGAAGCTCAGTGACACTTGCTATCACGAAGCAGCTGAACAGCCATWCTTGAYACCAGTATTTCTAGCTGAGATATCCAAGTCACTAGTGACTTTAGATAATCATGAAGTTGTTGGTGTTTCTCGYTGTTGTTCCTTTGGTTTGGGCAGGTATGTTGAAAAAMGCTTGTGTGACACTAGTCGTTTAGACGTGGAGTTAGGAATTTCAAATTTCGAGGGTAAAGCTGAAAGAGATCCCATGTTAGTGGTATTGTWTAGTCATGCCACAGCCTCAGAAGCAATACACTAATAGTTTACTAATAGTACTTATGGGATGACAAAGAAGGGGACTTATCGGTAATAACGAAGGAACGTTTAGCATCAAGCAATTATTCTATACTATTCTTATACTCTTGCACATGCAGTAATCCATAATTATTTTTCCGTGGAAGACAACCCTTTCGGACCAAAGTGTTAATATTTTAATGCGGAGCCTTTGAATGAATCAGATAACGTTCCAATCCTGTTCAGTTCCTGTGGCGATTTCTTGAAAGTTTATCCCATTTTCCCTTCCCAKCTAAATAAAACTCTTTGGTTTTCTCCAGGTTGCGGGAAACGTCCCGCGGGCTCGCGGGTCATGAATGGTGATAATKCSGCACCCMATGCTTGGCCATGGCAAATATCTCTTCGTTCTGGACCCAAGCAGTACCACATCTGCGGCGGGACTTTGATTCGTCCAGATTGGGTAGTGACCGCTGCACACTGTGTTGCAAAGAACCCAGATGACCCAAGCCAATTTAGTGTAAGAGTAGGTAAGATGACATTTCTCGTATATACATACGGTGCATCTACAGTACCGGATAACACAAGCTATTTTAATATAAGGGTATTAGTTAAAGTGCCAGTCATTTTACGGTATACACATTTGGGGCATCTACGGCGGTACTGCATGGACACTGTATAAACCCCGTCTTACGACCACCCGGTTATAGCGGCCAGATCTTCATGTCCCGGCGAGACACAGGCATCCCGTTAATACGGGCACTTTTCGTTTTTCCTTCGATGACCGGATTAACGAGGTTCTGTCGTACTCTCTTTAGGGGCCCACAGGAGACAAGGAACGACCAGCGTTCAACAAAGTCTTCCCATCAAAAGRATYATTRTGCATCCMGAGTATAAGAACAAGAGAGGTGTATTTAACGATATCGCTCTGATTGAACTCAGTAAGCCGGCTGCTCTCAGTGACAAGGTTAACTTGGCTTGTCTACCCACTAAACACGTGACTCTAGGATCCAAGTGCTACATCACAGGTATTACTTATAAATATTAAGCACCAAAGATTAGAGAAAAAATGCACGAGGGTGTCATTTATTTTTTCCATTATTTTTGTATCTCATTTCCTCTATCAATTCTAAACCTACTACAGGATGGGGTCGAATGGAAAACGGTGCTGCAGCAGACTATCTTCAGCAAGCTGTACTCCCCCCGGTTTCACAAGAAACCTGTAGAAAGAAATGGAAAGTTGAATTTAAGCCACATCTATGTGCAGGCGAAGCAAAGTGGGGTACTACAGGGGGTTGCCAGGGAGACAGTGGTGGCCCCTTAGTGTGCGAGGAAGGTGGTCGATGGGTTCTACATGGCGCTGTTAGTTATGGCTTGAAGTATTGTGGCTCGGCTTACTACACTGTTTTTGCAAGGGTCTTCACTTACATAGACTGGATTAATGGTTACTTAGGAATAGGTATGTCTCTTGTATCTGTTTGGAATTATATATGTTGTAATTACTCTCGTATTATAAGATGGAGAATCAACCATAATGTAATGTCTTGTAGATATTTTAAGTGCTCAATCACTTCATTATTCCGAGACATATACATCTTTGTTAGTTCTGAAAAGTACTCTCTTTCCTATTGGGTATACTTTGGTTTCATCAAGTCAATGACTATAATAGTATCTGGATTCATTATATTTCCTTGATAGGTCCATTACCGAGCGGACGACCCACCCCGCCTGTTCCAGAGACGACTCC